TTTTTTTTTTTTTTTTTTGCTGGTGTGACATCATCCACCTCGTTAGGGAGTTCATATGTTGAATTTATTTGTAGATTTAATTTTTTTTAAAAGTTTTTTTTCAAAATGCACTCTTCTGTTTAATGCCTTTGTGCAAAGGCATTGTCATAGCTGTATTTTGTGCCTAGATTATATTACTAATTATTCCATAAACCATGAGAACTATTACAGATTCTATATCCAAGCCTGTTTTAGTTGTCTGTCTGGGCTTACATAAACATTTCAAGCAGCACCTGTTTTATTTTATAGCTTTTGTAATCAAACTGAAAATTTGAAAAAAGAAGACCTTGAGGCATGTGAAGCAGTTGTCCTTCGTCAGCTTCAAAGATTGCTACAAAGCACATTCAATGGATGTCTCTTACCTGAGAAAACACTTAATGACAGAGGTAGAATTATGGATGAAAAGCAAGCCAGGTACCAAACACAAAACTATGTGATAATATGATTAACATTCTTATTTGACTTGTCCAAAATTATTTCTAAATGTTTATAAAAAGAAAGCAGAATTCGGTCAAACCTACAGTTCATATTAAAATTAAAGAATTCCAAGGGGTGACCTTCACGTATTTCAGGGCCTACCATCTGATTTAATGGCTCCAAAAGATTAAACTGAGCATATATGTATAAACTGACCTATAAAATGTGTATGTAAAATACGCTCAATTGAATTCTTTCTCTCACTCATTTAAATCAAGTATATGAGTGTAATATATATATTACACACATACATGCATATACTTTTAGTGAGAAAAGCTCACTTGAAACCATTTTTAGGTAGATAGATGGATAGTTTGTTTATTTTACTGGTCTGTTTTTAAGTGAGCTTTTCTCACCAAACGTTGATGAACCCATTTGCTTTTGTACATGTTATATGTAGAACTTTTTTCTTATAAAACTAAAGTTTGTGTTGATTTAGTTTATTGTCTTTCATTTGTGTAAATAGAGAACATGGGGCTAAGACCCCTTACCACTTCTAAATGTATTATTAAAAGATTGTGCCTCCTCACTTAGTCATACTATATTTATTATACTGTGTGCCTGCACAATCCAGAAAGGTAAGTGAAATGTCTTGCAACAGGGAGGAAAGTGCTTATTGTGTTGCCTAGTCATTTAGTGTAGGTTGTCTGCTAAGCAGAAGACTTGCACTCTCTTCCAAGTGTACCACTCTGGGCTGTGAGATGCTTGTGTTTCAGCAGTAACCACTTCTGTTCATTCAGGAATAGCACAGCTTACTGAGGGCATCCCATCATGTTATTTTTATTGTTTCAAAAGTTAGTGATTGCAAACCAAAATTACAAGGATCTGAAGATGGACTGGTTGAAACAGTGCTTTTAGCCATATTCAATCCACAGCTATATGTTTGACACCCTTGGACTAGACCACTAAATGTGATGGAAATTTGTAACTTGAATTGGTCATATCCTTCAGTATTTTTGTCACTAAAGAACGTGACCAATTCACATTGTCTTTGCTCGATTTAAAAAAAAAAATTCTTTGAAGTGTAACAAGATTTTGATCAAGTCTAAGCTTTATACTCTGTGGCCGTGTCTCCATGAGTAAACACATGTGGTTTGCAACACCACAGACCTGTCTGTGGCACTGTGAACTGCATGTGCTACACATGAAGGCATTTGCTGTGCTGCTAATTTGCAGTGTGGTGGGGTTTTTTGACACTAGGTGATCCCTGTGTCAAAAAAACCTGTGCTATAAAATCACGTAGCAGCGCAAGTAGTGGCAGCATGCACCACCCAAAACCAGAGCCTGGCTGGCCAGAGCTGCACTCTGGCTGCCAGCCAGGCTTCACACACCTAGGTCACTGCTGTTGGAGCCCTGGGAGGGCCCCCAGGAATGGCTGCTGGGGCCAGTGTACGTGCTGCCCCAGCCTCTCCTACCCTACCTGGGACAACTTGCCGTGTGCCAGAGCACACATGCAAGGGTGTTCCCAGGAGACAACTAGCAAGCGGCACAAATACATGCTGTTGCTCTTTGTCCCCAGGGAATGCATGTTCCCACTTGTTGGGAAGCGCCCAGTGTGCACATTTGTGATGTTAGGCAAAGGTTACAAGTACATACTTGCAGATAGCCCCACTGCTTGTGTGCATGCTGTTCAGTTTGTATCCACTTGAAAACAGATTAACTGGAGAGCAGGTGGGCTGCTTTGCTTCTTAACAATTTAGTTACTGACTACCCCTGAGATTCTTATTTGTCTCTCTGCTCACCCCTCACCCCCACAACTCATGCCTTTACCAGCCCATTAAAAAACATTTGTTTGAATATGAAGTCTTACTTTTGCAGACACTGAGTTCTCAAAAATATGCTTGGTCTCTGGTCCTGGGTTCTAAGCTTCGCCCTCAGTACTGTTTTATGTACTTTAAATTACAGAGTCATTGGTTAAAAAACTGAAATGACCAGTATGCCATAGTTGTGCTCCTTTTTTTGGTTCTCCTTTGTGCTCCACGAGTCTTGTACCCTTGTCTGCTTAGTGGCTTAGCTTTAGCAGGAGCAATGTGGCAGATATACCCACCCATGCAATGTATAGCCTTCTGGTTAGGGCCCTTTCTTGAGAAGTGGAAGGTGTGAGGCCAGATCCCCTGAGGCTGAGGAGGGTCTACATTTCATGCCTCCATGTTACTGGGTAAGTACCTAGTGACTAGGCTGGAGGTTGTCATTGAATTCAGCTTTGAGATGGGGAGGGAGTCTTCTCCTGTGCTGTGGCAGAGACAGCAGCAGCAGTGGCTGCTTCCCCTGAGCCACAGTGAGGAGAAGCAGTGGTGGCCAGGTTCTAGTAACTGCCTGCCAGCCAGTCTCTGACCTGAGCTGGGTCATTCCAACCCACAGCTTCCAAAAAGGTTGCCAGCTGTGGGGCACCAGCCTGTTGGCTATAAAGTGGGCACTACCACTGCCCTGGAATTGAAATCAGTGTGCTTGATGTGTTAGACAGATGTGTGTGTGTGTGTGGGGGGGAATTTCTTGCTTACTTTTAGTGTCTTTTCAGGACTGTAGGTGGAGCTTGTGCACCTCCAGTGAACACTGTAAATCAGAAAAGAGTCTAGGTGTAGAAGTGGCTGCTCCTATTTTTTTGCCATGTGTACAGGCTTGAATGTACGCACATCAGGAGCTCTGAGTTCCAAAACTGAATGGTGTGATAAGCTTTGTGTCTGTTGGCAAGGACACTTGGAATGTCTTCAAGACTTAAGTAGTTAATGTGTACTGAAGTTTCCTTTATGCACCTAATGAAACACTTAGAACATGGCACGAGAAGCTTCTTTCCTGATTTGGGATGGAAATATTTTCAAAATCTCAAATTTTCTCAAGAGAAGAATTTTTTTTTTCTGCTTATCTCCATATTTAAGTCATTGGAACTACTGAAATGAAAAAAGTGTTGCACCTATGTAAGAGTTTGCTGGGCTGGTGCCTACAGCTGTGTTACTGTTTTTTGAATTCTTCATTTTTTACAGTAAATACAGTATGAATAACACACATTATACACTGATTAGTTATACATAGCTTCCTAGGTGCCTAAATTGCAGTGATGACTGGAAGACCCTTTAGGAAATTCTGAGTTTTGCAAATTGCTAAGTAAATGAACAGACTTAAAGCCAGAGTAAAGCCTCACAAAATCCACATTCTTCATGTACGTTGACAGTTTTGGTCATTTCTGATGATTCCATATAATTTATTATTAAATGCATCTAGATTGGCAGCAAAGTCATTAGCAGTCATGTGAGTGCCCATAAGAAGGAGTTAGATTCATTTTATCCTAATTTGCTGCAGAAGGAGAAAAAAATTGCCAAGTGAAAAGGGACAAAATATATAGACATAGAAATGTTATTTTGTGCTTTCAAAGAGGATAACACAAGCAGAGTCATTCTTAGGGGTGTGCGGGACCTGGGACATATCAGCTGATGGGGTGCCTTGGGGGGTCAGGGTGGTGAGTGGCTTGACCATAAAGCCGGCAGCAGCCACAGCGAGGCCTGTATGACACTGTTTGTGTGGTGGTCTCCCCTATTTGCCTGCACTCCCCCCCTGCCCCCCCCCCCGGGGAAGGCGCTGATTACAAGTGAAGCTTTTAGTAGTTAATGCTAGTTCATTGACCATGGAGAGCTAAATGAAAAGATACGAATAGTATAGGAGATGGCTGTTTTTACATTTTATTTACTCACTGTCTGTCATTTTACTTGCATTTGTACTTATTTTCTAGTTCTGATCGGCCACTGGATTTTGCCATGTTATGGGAACGCTTAAGCAAACACATTTTATTCCTGAAAAAACACAATGTTTTGCTCACAGAAGAAGTAAAAGAAATGTTTGGAATTTTGCTGATTTCAGAAAGAAATTCACCAGGTGGCCAGGTGAGCGGTCATGATCATTCAGGTGTTATCATTATTGGTAAATCAGGCTTTGTGCATGTGTGCCTATGGGTCTGCTTCTACAATAGTAGTTCTCAACTTTTTTAGCTGCAAGGCACACTTCCATAACTTCTGAATATAGCGACATACCGTTTAAAAAACTAATGAATATATTACACAGCTTACCTTCTTGCACCCAGGGGGAGGATGCACTTACCATCTCGCACCCTGCTTCACCCTTAAAAGGATCATGTGGAGTCCCAGTTGAGAACCGCTGTGGTATAGCCTCGTGTTTGGGAGAGAAGTAGAAAATAAGAAAACCAATTTTTATTTATGAAAAGTTTTTAGCTAAATTAAATGTAGCCTGAAGCAACTAGTAGTATTCCCTGTCACGATTCTCATAGAAGGAAGGGCAGATTTACATCTTATAGACTAACCAGAGTTAGGGGGTGGGTGAGTGTACGTGTATGTGTATGTGAATACACACACTCCCCCCACTCCCACCCCAGCACAAGCTTTGTGAGCTGAAGCTCACTTCATTGGATGCTGTGAAAGGATGTGCAGAAAGTAGAGTATAAGAAAGAGAGAAATCAGAATTCAAAAGACAAAGGAAGTACGGGGGGAGAGAGAGTAGAGAAGGAGATGGGGCAGTCCTGGGAGAAACAAGGAAACAAGCAGTAAACCAAAGAAGCAGTCACAAAAAATAATCCAGATAATGGGACAGTACACAGAGTCCCTGCTGGCAGTAGATGATGGATTTTGTTAATAGATTCATAGATTGTAAGGCTGGAAGGGACCTCCAAAAATCATCAGGTTCAGCCCCCTGCACAAAGCAGGAAAGACAACAGGTGACCCCAGCAAGGTGACCATCCAGTCTCCTCTTGAAGATTTCCAGGGTAGGCGATTGCACCACCTCTGGAGGGAGCTTATTCCACAGTCTGGCCACCCTAGTTGTGAAGTAGTTTTTCCTATGTTGAGCCTGAAACAATTTTCCAGGAGTCTGTGACCATTACTCCTAGTTTTCCCCAAGAGTGCCCTGGTGAACAGCTGTTCACTGAGCCCTTGATATATGCCTCTGATGTAGTGGTAAGCTGCTACCAAGTCCCCTCTCAGCCTTCTTTTTTTCCAGCTGAAGAGTCCCAGTTCCCTCAGCCTTTTCTTGTATGGCTTGCCACGCAAGGCTCTGATCGTACAAGTGGCTCTTCTCTGGACTCTCAAGCTTTACCATGTTCTTGTTGAAGTGTGGCGCCCAGAACTGGACGCAGTACTCCAGCTGTGGTCTCACCAATGCTAGGTAGAGTGGGAGAATCACTTCCTTGGTTTTGCTGGAGATGTATCAATTGATGCATGCCAGGGTATTGTTAGCCCTGCTGGCTACAGCATTGCACTGCCGGCTCATGTTCATACTGTGGTCTGTTATTACCCTCAGGTCCCTTGCATTCATAGTGCTGGTAAGGTTGGCTTTGCCAAGCCTGTACGTGTGCAGGGGATTGTTCATTCCCCCAGTGGAGCACTTTTACATTTCTTGAAGTTGAACTTCATCTGGTTCCGGTCCGCCCAACTTGTGAGTCTGTCTAGGTCCACCTGTACAGAAAACCCTCACTATTCGCGAACTCCAGATTTGCAGGTTCAAATATTTGCAGGGGAGGGCAGAGCTGGGAGGTGGGCAGAGGGCGAGCGCCAGGGACATGGAGGGAGGCGGTGGCAGTGGCAGCATCTTCTCCCCCAGCGGCAGCCACAGCAGCACTTGGGGGAAAGGGGTCAGTCCCCCGGTGTTGTGGGGGAGCTCCACAAACAATGGGGCGGGGGAGCAGGGGGCAGCTGTGGGGTCTGATGGGAAGTATTTGTGGATTTTGCCATTTGTGGGGATCTCTGGAACATATCCTCTGCAAATGGCGAGGGTCTCCTGGATTTGCAGCCTATCTTCAAGCATGACCACATTCCCCCATAACTTGGTGTCGTCCGCAAACTTGGCCAGTGAGCTCTTCACCCCCACATTCAAATTGTTGATGAAAATTTTGAATAGTATGGACCAAGCACCGACCCCTGCAAGACACCACTGGGCACTTCTTGCCAAGATGACACAGATCCGTTCATTAGAACTCTCTGGATCCTGCCCCACAGCCAGCTTCCTACTCACCTGACTGTCTCACAGTTAAGCCCACTGTCTTCCAGTTTTCTCGCAAGAACTTTGTGGGATACCAGATTGAAAGCTTTTTGGAAGTTGAGGTATATAATGTCAACCTCCGGATGGCGAGTCACCTGAACATAAAAGGAGATGAGGTTAGTGAGACAAGACCTGCCTGTGACAAAGCCATGCTGGCTGTCATCCAGAATCCTACATTCTGCAAGCCTATTGCACATAGACTCCTTAATGAATTTTTCCAGGATTTTCCCTGGGATAGAAGCTAGGCGAATTGGTCTGTAGTTACCTGGGTCCTCCCTTCTCCTCTTCTTGAAGATGGGCACAACATTGGCCCTCTTCCAGTCCTTGAGGACCTCCCCAGAGCACCATGAATATTGGAAGAGATTCACCAGGGGTTCCGTAATTACTTCAGCCAGCTCCTTCCTTGTTGTGTGCTTAGGATGAAAGGTGGTGGTATGAAGGTAGCTGTAGTGGCCAGTTGGTTTCCAGTACTTGGTGGCAATGTAGCCATTTCAAAGCATCACTGTAGTACCTGGGAAATAAATTTGCTGCATGGAGAGTTCCAGAGTTAGTTTAGTGGAGGGGTGGAAGTTGTTAAAGTCTTAGTGAAATTTCTCTAGAGATTCCTTTCCATGGGTCCATACAATGAAGGTGTCATCAGTGTACCTTAGGTAGATCATGTGGATGAGAGTGCAACTGTGGAGGAATCAAACTTCAAGGTCTATTATAAATATGTTGCTTTTCTGGGGGGGCATACGGTGCCCATGGCAGTGCCATTCGTTTGTACGTATAGGGAGTCTCCAAACCTGCAATAGTTGTGTGTGTGGACAAAACTGGAGAGTATAATGGAAACTGAAGTAATTTTCTTGTTGCAGATAGTGATCTTTATGGCTTGTAATCTGTCTTCATGGGGGTGGTCTCCGGAGACACGACATCCATGGTAGCCAATATGGCATTAACTAGTAGCTTGTTAGTGGAGGCCAGTTTCTTTAAAAAATTTGTGGTGTCTTTCAAATAGCTGGCATCTCCAGTGGTATATGGCAGGGGTTGTCAACTGGGGGTACTTGGAAGGGGGCTAGGGGATACGTGCGGGCGGGCAGGGATGAAGTGCCGCCACCCACCATCCTATGCCACTGCCTCCCAGAAGGAGGGGGGTGAGGGCAAGGGCAGCAGCTCCCCTCTATGGGCCTCACAGGTGCTGCCCAGTCAGCGAGATGCAGTGGAGTGGGGGGAGTTTGCACGCAGTGGCAGCTGCTGATTATCCACCACCCTGCAACGCTGGCATGTGCTATCCCCCTCCCCTCCCGTTCCACCAGAAGTGTACCCAGAAGGCGGGGGGTACACTCCTTAAGAAAGGTTAAAAACCCCTGGCATATGGGAATAGGATGCAGTCTACATAGTCAGAAACTCACACCCTGACAGTGCCACTACCAGAGGCAATGGGGTGTCCTGAGATGGCTGGTTTGTGGATCTTGGGTAATAAGTAAAAATTGTCTGGCTTGGGCTCCTGGGACATGGAAGCAGTAATCTTCTCCTGGGTTTCCCAAGGTATATCCTGTTCATCCAATTCCTCTGGTATTGTGATTCTTGTAATCATTAATCACTACTATGAAAGCTTAACTTTTTTCTGACTCTTTTCTTTTCCCGTGTTGATGGCTATTTAGAAACATATTTACACTTTTGGGAATAAGCTATGCTGGTATATAAGCATCTTTAAACGAATATAACTTTGTCCATACTAGTGGGGCTGCAATACTTGAATGATCTCATTCTAACTAAAGCAGTACAAAAACTAGTTAGATAAGACCTGGGAGAGCTCCAGCTATCATAGTATTGTATAGAGAGATTGGTATTGTATGTGATAAACAGGTCTTAAAGTTTTAAAATGACCTGAACTCTATCTAGAAATTTGCTGGCTGCCAATTGAGTTATGGACCACTATTGTTTTGTGTTATTAGCATGATAAGCTACTTCATGAGTGGCATATTTTGCAGTAACTTCAGCTTCTGAAAAAAATCTCCATGCTTAATGTCATATAGAGCATGTTATGGAAAACTGAGCTGTAGACTTTCACCGGCCTGGGACCTTATGCATTTGATTGAAGATTGATTCTCTGTGCTTTGATGCATTCAGTCTTCTTTTGTACTCAGGGCCACAGTAAGCTGGCTGCAGTGCTTGATTGTTGCTAGGCTTTGGTGTGCACAGATCAGGAGTGAGTAGATAGTATTTGTTCCCTGGCAGCCATCCTGGGCATAGACCATGGCAGTATTATTGTTTTCACAGAACCGGTGTCTTAGGCCAGGTATGGATGTTTAGTTTCTATTGGGTGAGTTGCTGTTCTTTTGGTAGAAGCCAAAAGTGTACAACTGTTCAGGCTTTTTGTCCAGGATCAAAAATGGCCAGTCTGTGAGAAAAATAACCCAGAAACAACTGGAGTTAAAACACTCCCAGGAGAGGTTTCTCCAGTTAGACCTTCTCTGGCTTAGTTCTTTTTGTAGACCAGCAGGAGTAAAGCCAGGGGAAGGCTCCCTGCTTTTCTGAGATTACCCTGGTTTTGAAGAAGGTGTAAGGAGTAGAGGTACACTGATACATCAGTCCAATATCGGATTGGCACCAATATAAAGAAAATTGGCTGTATCAGAAATCAGTCTGATGGCTGATTTAAATGCCCATGCATGCGCACAGCTGCAGCGTAGCATGCAGGCAGCAAGAGCGCAGCCCAGCAGCTTGAAGAGCTGCATGCAGCTGGGAAGTCGGTTGTGGGGGAAGGGGAGGGGGGAGGGAAGGGGCATGGAGGGTAGATCAACACCCCCTGCGGTGAGGGAGGAAGTGGGGCAGGGGCAGACGCTGCCCAGCT